CGAACGGCGTCAGGCCGGAACTTGTAGGGCATCCCGGCAGCCCCCAACAGAGTCTTAGCCGCCTCGCCAATGGGCCAGTTGGCGCGCTCAGCTATGCTGTTCTGCTGCGGTGTTCCAGGGCAGGTCAGTTGGTGTCGGATGCCATTCCTCTTGAGAAACTTGGTGAATTCCGCTCCAAGGAACTCTCCACCACGGTCGCTCCTCAACACCTTCACCAGCCGCATCGCTTGCCGCTCCACCATCGGCAACCAATCCTCCTTGATCGCCGCTGCAGCATCGCTCTTCTTGGACAAGGGACGTGCCCACGTGAAACGGCTCCATTCGTCCACCATGGTGAGGAACTACAGCACTCCCCCAGTCCCCTCAGTCCTCATAGGACCCACCAGATCCATGTGCACCACCTCCAATGGTGCCTTGGCTGATCCCTCCGCATGTGGAAACGGGAACCGCGCAAACTTGTTTTGCATGCACGCCTCACAGCTGCCATAGTGAGCGCCATCTCCTTGCAGTTGCAGGCCGTGCACGCACTTCTCCTTGTGCATCACCTCCAGTGTTGAAACAGCCACGTGTGCGAGCCGCCGATGCCAAGTCTCCCAATCCGCTTGGCCCGAGGTAGCCGACGCCTTCACCGCCGCACTTCCTCCAATCAGCTCCTCTCCTTGCACACCTTGCTGCTCCTCCTCGATGACACTCTCCTCCATAGATGCCGCCGCTGCCGTCTTGCCCGATTTCCGCCAAGGGAGGACCGGGATCTGCCACATCCGCTTGTGGACATCTCCCTTCCGCCGCAGGTCCCAAAAGAGGCGCTCATCGTTGTAGGCACGATAGCGCTCCGAGCCAATCGTCTCGGTGTTCACACCCGCATCTCCCAACCGGCTGGTAGAAATCAGGTTCGCGCACAAGTCTGGCACCCACAGCACATTCTTCAGCCCCACGAGCTCTCCATCCGCTCCCATCAACTTTGCGCACCCCATGCCCATGACCTTGGCCTTGGCGCCCGTAGTGGATGTGACCGTAGAGATGGGTGCGGGCTGAATCTCATCGAGTAGGTCCGCACGAGGAGTCATGTGCCAAGAGCTTCTGGAGTCAATCATCCAATGGGTGAGGGGGTGTAGGAGAACCTTGGCAGCCATAGCGAGGTCAGTTGCGCCTTCGTTCACGAAGAAGAAGAACCCGGCCTTCCGCTCCTCAGATTTGCCGCCTTTCTCCTCCTCCTCCTCTCCACTAGCTCCCATGACTCTCCCACTCCTCGTGCCACCAGGCTGGTTGCTTGATGAAGGCGGGGTCCAATCCTTGGGTCGTTGGTAGCACTTCCACCAACGATGCCCGCGCTTCTTCCTGTAGAAGCACACCTCCCCTTGACCCCCGCCGCCATCCTCCTTAGGGTTGTCCTTGTTCTTGCCCTTCCACTTCTTCTTGAAGCCACTCTTTCCACCTCCAACTCCATAGCCAGCCCCCTCCTCCGAGCGCTCCACACTCCGCCGCCGCAAGATATCCACTAGGATGCGCGCGCGAATGTAATCCACGCTCCACTGGGGCTGTTGAGAGTTGAGATGATCGCAAGGGCAGACCACGACTCCGGGAGCCGTATCACGATCTCCACACATTGCACGAGCTCCGGGTACACCACACCGCCGCCTTGGAGCTTCGTGAAGATGTCGCGCATCTCGTCCAACACCAGTTGCATCGGCTCTCCATCAACGAACTTGATGTCGCGCAGCCGCCGCGTGAGTAGCACGATGCCGGTAGCATGTGTCGGTGAGTGCACATCCAGAAGCTTCCTCCAAGCCGTGGGGCCACACTATGGATCACCCAAGAGGTCCTTGATGCGGTCAAGTTGGCGTCCTCCAACCGCTTGCACCATGAGCATGTACGCGTCGAACGATCGCTTTATCCACGCTCCTTTCAGCTCCGCGGCCTCCGGCATCTTCTCCTTCCCCTCCACCAGATCCAATAGCTTGTATTGGGTATACATCAGCCTCATGCGGAAACTCCAGTGCTCGTAGTCCTCCCCCATGAATTTCTCAATAGAGAAAGTCTTCACCGGATCCACGATTGTAGGAGATGGTGTAGAAGTTGAGGGTAGCGTAGGGTTGGCTGGTTGGCGAGTCCCCACTTTTCCACCATCACTTCCCCCCTGCTCTCCAGCCTCTCTACTTCTATCCATCTCGCCACTAGCACCTCTGGAGTTCGTACCAACCATATTGAGGCCTTATGAACGGTAAAACTTGAGAAATCGTTTGGAGAGAATTCTGCCAGAAATTTTGATTCTACGAAAATTGCTTTCGCGGACAAGATACTTCGAACTAAAACACGGTTTGACCACCAATCAAAATTTCGCGAGCAGAGCTACTAGAAAATGGTCTCACTCGACAACATTGGTTGAGACTTCATGACGATTCGTTGTCTCAAAGTCGACTACCTGCTCTGATACCACTTGTTCAGGATCCGTCACTTTGAGAGCTTACGACGAACTCGTTACTCAACTAAACGCAAATCCGCTCAGTAGGATTGTGCGCCTCAGGCTTAGTTACCATCTCCAAGTTGAATCAGTCGTTAAGATGGTCTATAGAGTGAGAACCATGTAAAAACGTCTAGCAGCCGCATGACTAGAATGATGGAGGAAGTACAAGCATTAGGGCATAGAAAGTTGGAGTTGGGGACCTCCAAGAGAACCATGAGAGAGAAGGGGTTCTCCAAGAGCTAGGGAAGGATGGTAAGAACCTTCCTAGCAGCAAGGATGCAACCCTCATCATGAGGTCCTTGAGGTGTCACATGCAAGATCCAATCTAGTTGGATTTTGCCTAGGTGTTGCAACATTTGCAACCTATGCTAGAAACTTCTAGCCACCCCAATCCAAAAGTCAAGGTTGCCTTCCCTAACCACCCAGCCAAAAATCCCTTTATAGTCATGTCCCAAGTAATCACCCAAATTATATATAACCCCAAAAGGTAATAAGAAATCCAAGTATTGGAAATCTTGTAACTTGGGCGATCTTGGTCGGAATAAGGCGATCTTGGTATCGTTGGAAAGCTCTGGATTTCTCCTGCATGATCAAGCATTTAGACTTGGAGAAAAACACAGAGATGATAATACCCAACAGCCATGCACAATGACATATGCTCATGCAATCAATGCACGCATGAATAGCACGAGCACTCGGCAGGACGTTAGGATGACTTGCACTCAGAATGACGTGCATCCAACATCTAGCGGCAGGCCCCCTAGCTCCAGTAGCGCCCCTCCGAAGGCGGGTACACTGAGCAAACCATTTGCGCAGTTTCAGTGGAGAGAGGCTCCCGCCGTGATGAGGCACCCGTAGGACCTCCAGTAGACACAGTACCTCCAGGCTCAGCACCCCCAGACTCAGTACCCCCAGGCTCCGCACCCTCATGCTCAGCACCCCCAGAGGAGAGACGGTAAAAGGGAACTAACTTGTCAAACGTGACGTCCTGAGAGGGCAGGACATGGTGTGTGGTGGAGGGTAAAAGTGCCAGCCAGGCGCGTTAGGGGGAAGCCAAGGAAGACACAGGGAATGGCGCGGGAGGAGAGCTTGTCCGCGGACGTATCGTGGACAAAGACACGAGAACCCCAGACCCGGAACATCGATGCATCGCCAACCTCCCCTGTCCAACGCAGTGTAGGCAAGGTCTCCAGCGAGGAGACACAGGGCTAGAGGTTGAGCTGATGCGCAGCATGACGGACAGCAAACGACCACAGAAAATGGGGAGCAGCCGCATGGATCATAGAGGTTCGACCGACCTCCATGACTAAGCCAATGCGGTGCTCAGCAACCTCATTCTGCGGCGGAGAGGCCGGAAGCGTGAATGACTGGCAAATGCCCTCCCCATGATAAAAAGTCTTGCAAGAGGTCGGAGGCAAACTCACCACCTCTGTCAGAGTGCATACACAGGACAGGAAGGTCCTCGCAGAATCGCTCGCGGAGCTGGAGACGGACTGCGCGGATCCAAGGGATCAAGACATCAGGGACCTCCTCCTTGCTACGCAAGGGGAAGACCATGGTGTAACGCGAACAATCGTCAACAACCAGCAGAAAGTATCACTCGCGGCCCTGTCCACGGACGCGGGCTGGTCCTTACACGTCCATGTGGAGGGTCTGCACGAGAGTAGTCGTCGGGGGAAACGAGGAGTGAGGAGCAGTGCGCTGCCACCTCTCAACACAGAGAAGGTAGGGAGGGGAAGGCGAGGGTGGGAGGGGAGGCAGAGACCTGGGAAGACCAGAGACAAGGAGGCGGGAGTGCATGCGACGGAGGCGTGGTAGGGAGGGGTGACCTAGGCGGTGGTGCCAAAGGGGAGTCTGGTGAGACAGGAGGCGACACGAGCAGGGGGCTGCTACCGGACCTGACGCGGACACCTGACCAGACGCAGCTACCTGAGTAGGCTCAGTAGTCAGTGTGTATAGTCTCAACCCAGGCCGACGGGTGAACGTGGCCAGGTGACGGCCAGTTTGGGATCTCGTACAGATCACCACACGCTGTCCTCTAGGGGTAAAGGTATCAACACATTCATCCCGAAGGACTGCATTGCTCACCAAGTTCGTAGAGAACAAGGGGAGGTAAAGACCTGACAGTGAGCCAGACAGAACCACTAGACACGCTACAATAGTGGAGGAACGTGCAAGAATTGGGCCCCCAGAGGGCCAGAGAGACTGCAACTAGTGCTAGGAGTGGTGTGACTGTGGTGCTGTTGCGAAAGAAGCAGCGGGAAGGACCTGAGTCAAGCATGAAGGTGTGCAAGGCCTCAGCAGGTGCAGTACCAGGGAGAGCAGACTCACTAGCACCTAGAGCAGCAGCCTCTATACCTGGGTCGGGCGGCACACATTAGTAACAGTCACCCTCAGCACTAACAGTCAAATCATACATGGCCGCAAGGATAGCGTCTTAGTCAAGAGCAAAGATACCAACACCCTGGCTAAGCAGCTCCAGCCAGCAGGGGAGCTCAGTCGCGTCAGGAAACTTTACGCGCCAGGCATCATCAAGATGGGAGAAGCAACGGGCTTGTGTGTGACCAACATTCCCGCATGTCTGACCAGCGTAGTGACCTGTGCAAATGACGTACTGGCAGCGAGCACTACCCCTAGACGCCCCACGCTGAGCAAACCACTCACGAAGCTCTTGGGGCGTAGGGGTCTCACGCGGATGCTGCTGCTACTGCCTCTGACCCACACCAGAACCCGCCTCTGACCGGTTCCACCCCGACCGCCACCACTGCCGCTTCCACCACTCCCATTGAAGCCACCACTGCCGCCGCCACCACTCCCACTGCCGCAACCACCGCCGCCACTAACGCCTCCACTCCCACCACCACTCCCTCCGCCACCACCGCCACCTCCGCTGCCTCCACCCGCCTCCACTGCTACCATCCCCCACCACCCTTGCCTCCCTTGCCCCTACCGCCGCGGTGCCTCCCACTAGGAGCAGACGCAGCCCCGACCTCCTCAGCATGAAGGAAGTCAACAGCAGCAGCAGAAGCGTAGGAGGGGGCAAGGGGGGAGGGGGAGCACCCCTCAAAGAAGGGAGGGCGAGGAGTGCCACGAGCAGCACCTACATCGACTATACTAGTACTAGCTGCAAGGAGGTGCTTCTCGAGCAGGTCAACAGTGAGATCTGTGGGGTCCATGGCAAGAAAGAGGTCCTTGACTATGCTTAGAGAGTCAGGGAGGCGGGTGACGATGAAGTAGAGAGCAATGTACATGGGGAGAGGTTTCTTGACTAGAAACTTGGCGGGAAGCACGGCGTGGTAGCGAGTGTCACTAGTGCGAAGGTGGGTGATGAGGTCGTCGACTGTGGCAAAGGCAGACAGCTCGGGAAAGAGATAGGGCAGTATAAGGCGGCCAAGAGCAGCAGTGGCAGGGGAGGAATAACGAGCGACTACAGCGTCGTACAGGGCTTCAGCAGTCTTGTGCTGGCCAAAGTGAGCGCGTTTGTCTAACGGTAG